TATATTTGTATATATGTATTTTGCTGGGCCGATCTGTGGCCCAGACATCGGCTAACCAGGCAAGGAGCTATAAAAAGCCATAGACAGGCTCCGCATATAAATGCATTGAACTTTGGCCGTGTTGTTGCACATATGCAACAACAACTAGAACAACAACAGCAACACACACACACACGCTCGCACATACCCCCAAAAAGATGTCGTCATCGTGCCATGGTAACGACAACAACAACAACAACAACAGCAGCAGCAACGACAACGACGTCATCAGGCGCTGGCGTTGCCTGACTGAATGTGAAAACTATAAAAAGCAGCGACAGCAACAACAACAACACCGGCAACAGTCATAATAAAAAGAGAAGACAACAACAAAACAACAAGAGCAGCAACAACAACAACAACAACTAGCTGAACAACTCCTTTTGATATTTTTGTCGCGCAGTTGTTGGAATCCTGCTGCTGTTGTTGTTGTTGCTGTTGCTGCTGTTGTTGTTGTTGTTGTTGTTGCTCTTGCTGTTGCTGTTGTTGTTGCCTCCTTGCGACTTGGACTTGGTCGCGTGCCTGGTCTACGTGCCCAATGCGCCCTCTCCCCTGCCACAGGCGTTGCGCTCCGCTGACGCTGCCTTTCAATTTGTTGCTGTTGCTGTTGTTGTTTCTGTTGCTGCTGCTGGTGTTGCCAGTGTCTCCATTGGCATTGCTTCGTGCCGTGTTGGTGGCGGCGTCGGCCGATGATTCACCCAGCCAGTCGCCGGCAAATGCAGCCACATTTATTGTATCTCCCCACATACAGCGCCACATACACACTCACACACACATACACATTCACACTTATGAGGTATATGCCCAAGTTGTCAGTTGTGAGTGCTGGGAAAACGCATTGCCATATTTTGTATTTTACATTTAGCATTTCACATTTCCCATTTCGCATAGGGCTATAGCTCTTTGAGGGGTCTTGCTCTTGCTCTTGGTCTTGGCCACGCCTTGAATTTGATTAATGAGTTTTTGCTATTTTTGGTCACATTTTAGCGGCATCTGCCACCAAAATCTGCAGTTGCTAAAGTCAAGTGCAGCCGTGCTCGCACTAAGGAAGCATTTTCCGCTTTCCATGGAAAATTTCTATCAATTTTTCTTCTCTCGTTTTCTAATCAAGATTCTAAATTAAATGATATTGCCTTACATGAGAGCACTTTGAAGATATCTAAATATATTTACTTTGATTTAAATTCATTCCGAATTCAAAGCCAAATTTGAATGTATGAATTTATTATTCTTTTAACTGAAATTAAGCTAGTTTTGTTTTGCATTATATTATTTTTGAACTCTAAGGAAATTTGAATAGCTTGCAGCTCTGGCTTGTTGTGAAACAAAATATCTAACGCCATAAATGGACGCTCTTTGCCGTGCTAATTTCAACTTTTCTCTAACAAAAGCGAAAAGTGTCCCAAAGTGCGAATCTCCAACAACTTTTAGTTTGCAACTTTTTTTTATTTTTATTTTTAGTTTGCCAGCTTTGGAATTCTTTTGGGTCTTTTTACAATTTTACCTTTAATCTGAGTAACTTTGTTGCTTTTAGAAGAGGAAGGATCAGGTGAAGGAAGTGAAGAATGTAAGTAAGTTTCTCTTTCCCTCACTCACTCTCTATCTTAATCTCTTTCTCTGTCTGCATTAGTTTTAAACTTGAGCTTGTACTGATAAAATCTTGTACTAGATTTAATTAACAATTACTAGAAAATTTGATTTTGTTTAAAAGATCTTTAGACTAATACTGTTATACAGTATAGCCTGACTATGGCAGACACTCAGCAGAGCAAATATTCGCCAATGCGCATTGATCATTGATTATCTACTTTCATTTTATATTTCTCCTTCTTCTTCTTGTTCGTATATTTTAATATTGACATATGGGTTTGCGTTAAGAAATAAAAATTCAACAAATAATTATTTTTTTAAATTATATTTTACAATAATTTCTGCTTAGTTTTTGATTTGGTCAATRATTCATTTTTTATGTAGCTATCTAGCTTGAGTTGATCCTCAAAATAACATTAAATATTATATAATATATGATACTATATAATATTTCAGCTGGAAGCCCCAAAGTTCCACAGCATAAAGCTAAGTCTGGCTAACTGTCTGCACTCATATTGAATCAATTTTAATATATTTTTTCAAGCAAACGTTTATCAATTTTAGTAATTTAGCTCAAAATTTGATTTGATCCCACTGAGAGTTTCAGATATGATGTGGTACATATATTTGTCAGTTTCACAGCTTAAAGCCAAGCTTGAGCTCGATATTTCGCTCTCATATTAAATCAATTTTCATATATGTATATTTTCGGCTTTCAATCGAGTCACGCAATGCTGCAGCTCAGTTTTCAATCAAGAATTGATTGGCTCGATGATTAGCCAAATAAGTGCAACAATCACTTCAAAGAGAACAGCAAAAAAAAAAATAATAAAGAAAAAGAAATACACAAAAAAAAAAACAGTTTAGACACTTGCAACGTTCAAGAATTTCCATGCAACTGGGGCACTGAAAAGAAGTTGCAACCGAAGCCGCTATAAAACGGAACTGCACTGAGCTACACAACTGCAAAGGAAGTTGTAGAATCAATAGGTCACACACACACACACATACACAGCCATACACACTCTCTCACGCGCACACACACACACACACACACACACACTCAGAAAGCAGCCAGCACGTGTTGTAGTTGCTAGCCACAGAGAACTGTGGCAATTTGTTATATGATATCACCGCAAGGAAGCCACAAGAAAACCTCCAACCAGGCCGCAACTGCGATGTTGCACCAAAAGCAACTTGAGGCACGCACACAGACACACACACTTACTCACACATGCATACACTAAACAAAAATTTGTCACTTTAATTGCAGTAATCAATTGCAGGTCGAAAAAAAATTCTTAAAAAAATATTGAAGTTTTTTGTTAAACTTCTGCGAATTCGAACTGAATTTACTTTGTAGCTGCTATTGCTGCTGCGGCTGCGGCTGCTGCTGTTGCTGCTGCTGCTGCTGCTGCT